AAAACAATAGAAGTTTTTCTTTATTACATAATGCGCTGCCTTGAAATATCCAAAGGTACGATATGTATATTTCTTCCTAATTATATAATTCTTAAGTATTTAACCATCCCATTTTACATTCACCAATAAAATTTTATTTTTATTTTCTCTTCCGTTTGGATGTTTTTGATAGAACTTTTTGCTAAATAAGAAAACAAAATTTTATTTATATTTTTATTTTGCCCTCCTCCGATCGCAAAACAAGAAATAATAAGAGTCTCCTCACCTCATAGATAATAAATATTTCTTATTAAAAAAGGTAAATAAATATCAAATTGTTATAGATTCAAAATACATACAGATTCTACTATAAGTGGTGCTTGTCTGCTGCCCTCGCTGCCTAAACCTCTTCTGTTCATTAGTTGCATAATTTCATTAGCTTCTGCCTCAAGTGCTGCAACTGTGGCTGCTAAGTTAGACACTCCTAGAGTACGCCCAGCATCTAAAACAGAAATTGATTTAAGACAGCTAATGTATTAACAATTGTCTCTCTCAAGTGAATGCTGATGGTTTCACCACACGCAGCAGCAAAAATTAAAAATTAGATGCACTAAGAAAACTCATTTAATAAGATCTCCCAGAAGTTCTTCCAACTTGAGCACCCTGATGTACTGTTGCCACCCCAGTCTCCCATCCTAATACTAAATAGGCCCAAAAATGCTTATGTTGATCTGACTGGTTTTTGTTTATATGGTTATAACCAGGCCAAAATACTGTATGAAAGCCAACCAGCTATAATTTCCTTTTTGAACAAGGTACAACCTTTACTTACTTCTTTGAGATCTTCCAGCTTTCCTGGCCGTTTCACGGAGCTGTATAACAACCTTAAGTATACGTAGAAAGCAGTTTTGATGACTAGTCTTGCTGATAAATAGACCCATGCTGGGCAAGCGCAGTTCAAACTCTCCTGGTTGTCGCTTAGATGAGGCTGCAGAACGTACTACAACTTTTGCATTCCTAGCATAATGCTCACTCAAACCTGCAGCAGTGGAGGTAGTTGCTTCTTCATTAGGGTTGCTTTCTGCGGAAGAACTTGCATCAGCCTGGAACTTATTAACCTCATCTAGTAACTGCTTAATGTCACTGGAGGTAAATAAAAA